CTCCCAACTGCCGACCGTGCGCATCACAACCCAGATCACAACTATGATACCACCAGGACTATATATGCACACATTTAACTATCAACTTCCCCTCTCCCTTGTTAACCCCAAACAACTTCAGAACCACAATGAGCGCTTACAACCCTGTGAGTCGCCCCTCAGCCCCTATTTCTGTGCATGCAGTTTACCCCTTGCAAAGGGCTTTCTCTGGCCTATTCTCGTGCTGTCCCTATGTCGATGAATTCAATGGCAGGAAATCAGTCTGCTGGCTTCTCGGCTACATTTGCGGAGCAATCTAGTTCCCAAACAACCAGCCAGACAGAACTTCCCCGAGTATCAAGAGGCTCACCCACAGAGGGACCACATCCCCTTAATTCACAAGAAGCGGTTTTCTAAACACCAGGATGGACATTTGGGAAACAACTGTCCCTCGAACCCGAATGAGCTAAACAGGTGGGGACAGCATACATACCCACCTCTATTTCACGAATACAGCACTACTTTTAAAACATGGGACGAATCGTACAAACTTTAACGTGGGGCGACGTGAACCAAACAACTTCGAATCGAGAGCCTGTCTAGAAGCCTTCCCTGCCTCGAAAGCTCCCAGGCTAGCAGCGGCTGGTCAACGGGAGCCCAGCTCCTCCCTCATTTCCAGTCTCCGTGGGGCGTACTCAGCTCGGACCCCGGGCCTGAGCACTACCCCCCGGGGAGAAGTGAGCCCGTCTGAGTCACGCGCGGAAAGGAACAGGAAGCTGGTGGCCAGCAAGTGCCCAGGGAGGCCGAGGCAAGGTGACGGGAGAGGGCGGGGAAGCAGGAGGCTCTCCAGGCGCAAGGGTCAACCCTGCTAGGTCAGAAGCTGCCAGGAGGCAAGTTCTGGAGGCTGACGGCCCTCCCTGCTCGGGGATGATAACATGGCCACAGACGTGAGGAGAGGCGTATTGGGGGGGCTCTCCCCACGCCCTGACCGGTCCTCGAGGGGTAGGGAAGGCCACCACGCCACGGAACAGCAAGTCCTCTCGCTGCTATTGGCCCGAAAGGGCCAGAATGGTGAGAGAAGAGGGGACTGTCGCACCGGAGACAGCCTATCCTTAATCCCTGGGATGGGGGCGATGGGCCCTGACAAGCAAGGCCCTACCACCATTGGACCTCCTGCCGCCCGCCGCGGCCTCATGGCACCCCTACCCGGTCGCCGACGGCCCGAACACTTGATCCCCGCGGGCACTGGACCCCCGAACCCTGACCGGCTTATCCCACTCCTCTCCCTCACCGGCTGCTGCAACCACCTCCTTCGGCCGCCGCTGTAGGAGCTGAGTCTCCCCGCCGGGGTTTCCCTCTCTGACCTCATTTCCGGTCTGAGCCGGAGGGGCGGGGCGGAAACAGAGTGGGAGGGATTGACGGACTCAAAAAGGACCGCCCCCAATGTAGCGCTTCCGCCACGCGGTCACGCCCACTTCCGCCCCGCTCAGGGCGGGACCACAGGGAACCTGGGAGGGTCTGGACGAGACCAGGAGGGACGGCGGCTAAGGTGTCGGTGGGAGGAAGGCCCCAACGAATTGGCCTCGCCTTTCTTTGAGCTTTCGTATGAAAAATGGGCCCTCGGAAGGAGCAAGAGCCTCACCAGTGCTTGCTGACTTACTTTATAAAGGATATGTAAAGTTGGGGGGAAATGGATCATTTTCTTTTTTCTGTCACTTTTGTAACTGTGAGAGTTGTTGGAACAACCTATGGTGAAAATACCTTGGCAATAGGCTGCTCAACATTGCGGTGACACGTGCGTTGGGCAGCCGCACTACTAAATGTGTTTTGGATTTAGAACTCAAAGCATACAAGAAATAATCATGTGTCCATATTGATAGATATTTTTTTAAATGATGTATAAGTGGGGGGAAAGACACATTTCCGTGCGGCACTATAAATGATTTATGTAGATAATTAATATAACCCCCAACTTTTTAAGTTGGGCTGTGTGTTGTGATTTCCTTCCCAAGAGTACCTTCTGAAATTGGGGCCGCGGGTGGTGAGTAATTTACAGTGGCTGAGACAGACACCACCTCAGCCGGATGATCAAGGTTAACGGCAGCAGTGATAAGTCATGTTGATGGTACGTAGCCTTGATAGGATGTGATGAGAATGGCAGGGCCAAGAGGAGCCGAAGGCGACGCGATGAATACATGCCCGGTGGCACCCTGGGTGGGGTCCTGACAAGGAAAAAGAGCATCAGGCAAGGGCCAAGGGAATGTGAGTAAAGAGAGGACTTTCGCCCAAGCAGTAGGAATTTCTCCCACTTCTGTCTGTCGGCTGTCAGGATGCCTCTCCACGTGCTTGTCTCCCTTCCCACCAGCTGTCTGTCTGTGGCAGAGACTCTCTTGTGTGTGTCTGAATCTTCTCTAGCTTTGTGAACACAGGAGGTTTTCTGTAAACGACGATCGGTGGAGGCACATATTACATGGGTGAAAGATATTTGCTGGAATTATTTCTGAGAATGAATTCAGGTGACAATGTACCCAAGAAGACTTTATGATGACTTTTCAGGAGCTTCTGGTAAGGTGATCGAAGACTCCTTAGCTAAAGGTTTTCCTTCTACTTGCCTGGCCTATAAGAAGCAGCCACTCCATGAACATGTTAAATAAATGGGGGAGACAGAGAGAGTAAAGGATGGGGTTTTGTTAATAATTACATATCAATTTAAGTTCCTTATGTGTGGCAAGTAATAATATAAAGGGACTTCGAAAAGTTCGTGGGAAAATTGCCCTGTCTTTACATTCTATTTTTCCCATGAATTTTTTGAAGCCCCCTCTCAGATGGTAATAAGGAACACTGGGTGGGAGGTATGTGAGAACTGTCTCAAGTATTTTGTAATTTTCCCATAAATCTAAAACAAATTATAAAATTTTTAAAGTAAAAAAGGCACATGCCTTTTGATTCAGAAATTCTGCTTCAGGAATTTTAGTCTCAGGAGAAATTAGAATTGGGCACAAAATGCGAAATGCCAGTAGGTTCATCTCTCCATGTGTTGTGGAAGGAGGGGCGAGAAGACTAGGAATAAGAAATCCTACGAGTTAGTTGACTAAATTACGTTCTATCTATGAAATGGAATACCTTGCAGTCTTTTAAAATTGATGTTGTGGAAGATTATTTGATGACATGAAAAGTCATTGATTTATGAGTGTGTATATTTCCATATGCTTGCTATACTTCAATAAAAAGCTTACTCTAAAGATATAAAGACGGATCCTATTCATGTTTAGAGGGAGTTGCATCTGTACTTGCACAGGAACATGACCAGAATGATAGACTGCACAATGTCCTTGATGGTCCCGTTATCAATAACTGCCTTGTCCTGTTGTTTTGTTGGGCTTTGTGAAACTTCCTGTGCGGGAGGAGACCAGGATGCCTGTGGTTTCAAGCCAAAGTAACTAAGAGAAAGGTGGGTACCAGTTGCCCAGCTAGAGAAGTCAAGAAGAGAAACTAGTTTGGTGGGAAGATGATCAATTCCATTTTTTTTAATTAATCATTTCATTGAGGGCTCTTACTAATCTTATAACAATCCATCATTCAAGATTAAGCACCCTTGTACATATGTTGCCGTAAACATTTCCAAAACAATTTCTTTCTACATGAGCCCTTGGTATCAGCTCCTCTTTTTCCTTCCCTCCCTCTCCCTCCCTCAATTCTATTTTTGACATGCTGGGTTTTTTTTACTCCCACAAGGCAGAGAGCTGGAAATGTCCAACAAGTATCCACAGCCCTTGACCTTCTTTTCTACTTGAAATATCTTTCTAACAAAGCACATACGTTTCAGTTGTCAGTTGCTTCCATTAAGACGGAAAACCTCCAAATTTCTTGAAATCCAGATTTTTAACTTCCGGCTAGATGGCTCTCCATTCGCTTGGCCTACCAGTACCTCTAATTTAGGATATCAGAACAAAGCTCAGTGTCTCCGCCAATCCCAATAAAATCTACTCCTTCTCTAGCCTTTGGGAAATGGTGCCACCACCATGCAGTCAGCCAAGAAAGAAGCTTCAAAGCCCATGTTTGTTCCTGCTTTCTCTGCATGTCTTTCATCTGGTGAAATGCCAAGCCTCTGGGATTCTACTTCTGCAGTGTGTTTGCATCCCTCCTCCCTTCCTCCTTTATCTTCCCACAAACATTAGCCTCGTCTAGGCAGGCCACCATTTTTCTGGATGAGGCAGCAGCTTCCTTACTGGTCTTCCCACTTCCGGTCTCTTCCGCAGACACTGGCAAACGGAGTGAGCTTCCTTAAACACAATTTGGATCAAGTCGCCTCATCCATTTTTCATTACCTCCTGCCGCATGCTTGCGCCGCGAGAGACTACTTGCTACGTCTAGAACACCCCTGGGCTTTGGGGTCTTTTAAAGACGCAGTGCCAATGTCACCTCCAGGAAAACTGCCCCCTTTCTTACCCATTCTCTGCCGCCTCCTTTGGACTCTATCAGTATTCTCCAGCACTTTTATTACAGCATTTCCTTCATTCAACCTTGAATTAGAAACAATTAGGTTTGAGTTTGCCTCCCCAACTAAATCAGGCATTCTGCAGACGCGTCCTGAGTGCCTGCCACCTGACGGCCCCGTGCACAGCTCCAGAGAGACAGCTGCAAGAACAAAAATGAAGACTACGCCATTGTTGTCCCAGGGACCCTGGCTTGTTCAGCACGTTCTCATCAGAGCTTCCCCACAGTCGGTATTGCTGATTAAAACATAAATCTTTGTTTACTAAACGCGAGACTAGATATTAAAAGTGCTTGTCTCAGTCTTCAGAGAACATTTCAACCAGAGCTTCAGCCTCTGCTGCGAGTGGAAGCTGTGGGCAGGCCTGCAGAGGCAAGGGCGTGGCACAAGAAAGTGAACAGACAATTTGCTTGAAAGGGGTACCGGGCCCTTGAAGCGCCTCGGCAGAGAGGAGCCAAAGGTAAAGGAATTTTAAGGACAAGATGGTCAAAGAGGGGATTAGAGGTGAGAAATTCTAAAGTAAACCCAAAGCCATAAACCCACTGTCATTAAGTCAATTCCAGTCTTAGGGACCATAGGCGATGAGTCCCAACATGTGCGATTCCACCCCCTGGGGTGATGCAGTGATCCAGGTAGCCTGCAAAGGCAAATACGTACACTTTTTCCTGGAGTGCGGGCTCCAGTACAATCGTTTTTCACTACAAAGGGGCGCTGAGTCATTTTTTTCTTTTTTTTTTTTAAAGGGAGTGGTAGGCCAAATAAATTTGGGGACTTAGGTAGGGTTTCTGTATAAATCTTTACGGAAAAGAACAGACAATGAAGTGGCTGGTGAGTTTGAACCACTGACCTTGCACTTAGCAGTGCAATGCCCAACCTATAGCACTACCAGGGGTTCTTCATTCTAAGGAAAATCAAAACAAACACAAAAAGATTCACTGCTGTCAAGTTCATGCCGACTCATACAGCCCCACAGGACACGGTGGCACTGTCCCTGTGGGTGTCCAGACTAACTCTTTAAAGGAGTAGAAAGTCCCATCTTTCTCCCAGTCCAACAAGTAACATACTAGGACTCCCTCCCACCCATCCCAGAAAATTCTCCAACAATATGTCCAAGGTATGTAAGATGAAGTCTCACCATCCTTGCCTCTAAGAAATACTCTGGCCACATTTATTTCAAGGTAGATTTGTTCACCTTCTACCAGTCCATGGTACTTTCAATACTCTTCTCCAGCACCATCATTCAACTTTCATAAGCATATGAGGCAATTTAAAATACCATGGCTTGGGTCAGGTGCAACTTAGTCCTGAAAATAACATCATTGCTTTTCAATGTTCTAAAAACATTTTATGCAGCAGATTTACGTGATTCAACATGCCATTTTATCTCTTGACGGCTGCTTCCATGAACATTGATTGTGGACTCAAGCAAGACAAATTCCTCAACAATTTCAATCTTTTCTTCACTTGTCAGGATGTTACCTGTTGGTCCAATGGTGAAGTTTTTGGTCTTCTTTACATTGAATTGTAACCCAAACTGAAGGTTGCAATCCTTGATCTTCATCACCAAGTGCTTCAAGTCCTCCTCACTTTCAGCAAGCAAGGTTGTAGCATGTGTACATTGTAGGTTGTTAATAAGCCTTCCTCCCATCCTGACGCCACATGCTTCTTCATATAATTCAGCTTCTCTGATTATTTGCTCAGCATGCAGATTAAACAAGTATGGTGAGAAGATATAACCCTGGAACACGCCTTTCCTGATTTTAATACATGCACGATTCCCTTGTTCTAG